GCTTCTACATATGGCTGGCTAAAACCTTAAATAAGAAGGATTAATTGATAGGCACCATCCCTGTACATTCTTGCAATTACATAATCTAAAGCTATGTAGGCTATCCCCAATGTTTGCCCATTTTCAACATGAGACAATATGCTTGCAGACAGAACAAGCAAAGCTTACCCCATTTTTGTTCTCAGCAAAGGCTTTTAACCCAAATTCTCTCTCTCTCTCTCTCTCTCTCTCTCTCTCTCTCTCTCTCACGTCCTCTAGTTTCTTTTCACTCAGAAACGAAACTGGCTGCTTTCTTGCAGATGTACTGAAGCCTGGTGGATATGTGCTGTTTCGTTGTCAGTGACATCAGCAGGAAAGCATAGCAGGCTTCCTTGGTCACACCTACTTTTGCTCAAAAAAGCCTTCTTAAAGGTACAGAGCGTTGCTTTTCACCCTGAACCACAGAACAATATAAGGCACAACTGAGTCATCCTAAACTGCCCAATGGCTTCAATGCATTCTGCTCAAGCTTTTTGTATAAATGGAAATCCAGCAATTCTAAAATGTAGCCATATTCTCTGTGCCTGCCCTCAGATTGTGAAATTCCGTCCCCCAAAAAGCTACATCTGGCCTATTTACTCTACAGATGCTATTAGATGCTGAAGACACCCCTCTTTACCCTAGTCTTTGAGATTAAACACAAAATTTAAACTGGAAAATTATTGGGCTTCTTGTTTAAATTGCATTACTGTATTATTAACTTTATTTTATCTAATTTTAAAATTATATGATTATACTGTTGTAATCTGCCCTTGGACCTAATAGTGAAGCGTGGAAAGAAATCCTATGATATATAAATAAATGTTATATTTATTGATTTAATTTATAAAAGTATTTCTATACCATCATAGCATCTATTATCAGGGTGGTATACAATGTTAAAAAAAATGCCATTTTAAAAATAAAAATACATATATCATTAAGGCAGGCATGGCCAAACTCGGCCCTCCAGATGCTTTGGGACTACAATTCCCATCATCCCTGACCACAGGTCCTGTTAGCTAGGGATGATGGGAGCTGTAGTCCCAAAACATCTGGAGGGCCAAGTTTGGCCATGCCTGCATTAGGGTGACTGATTACTAAAAATAAAAACTAAAACTGGAAGTGTCACCATGGTCCCAAGCAGAACTGGCTTCAATAAAAATAAATAAATAAATAAATAAATAAATAAATAACCAGGCAAGAGATTAAATTGTATATGGAAGTTATTAATCTGATGACTGACTTTCAACCACAACTATAACAATATTTTCAAGTAACAGAGACATTATCATGCTTATTAAGGAAATACAGCTTTCGAAATCTTACTAATATCAGATCAAGACAAAGGCTTAATTGGCAAAATGTCCTTAATAATCATGGAATTGGATAAGAAAGTTGAGATCTTTGCATTGGGTAAACAAGCTCCAACAAGAGCTGACATGACTAAAACGGAAATGGTTATGGGCCAAAATACCACCATGGATTATATCTGAAAATTTACAGGAATTTTTCAGTCTAAGGTCCAGTACCAGTGGTATTTTACCCCACATAGGCTTGCAAGAATATATCCAACACCCCAGGATAAATGCTGGAAGTGCGATAGTTACCATGCAGAATGTCTGCATGTATTTTGGAGTTGTCCAATAATACAAATTTATTGGAATACCATTTGAAATCTTGTCTCAGAAATGACTGGTTATCTATTGTTAAATAGATCCCAAAGTAGTAATACTGAACTATTTGGAAGGCAGCATCCTAGAGATTGATTTAGAAACACTTTACTGGTCATGGCTAAATTATATATTATAAATTATATACCGTCATACCTTGGGATAAATACGCTTCAGGATAAGTATTTTGGGGTTGTGCTCTGCGGTGACCTGGAAGTAATGGAGTGCATTACTTCTGGGTTTTGCCGCTTGCGCATGTGCAGATGGTCAAAATGACGTCACACGCATGCGCAGAAGCGGCAAAACGCGACCCGCGCAGTCACATCTTACGTTCTGTTCAGGATGTGAATGGGGCTCCGGAACGGATCCCATTTGCATCCCGAGGTACCACTGTATTGCAAAATCCTGGAAGAAGAAGAAGAAAATCACCCCTAAGCTTAGATTAGCATAAAAAGATAGCAGAGTCTGTAATAGCGCCATTGAAACTTACAAACAGATTTACAAAGGTAATTTTTTTATCCTGTTTTGGAATATTATGAAAAGGTTCATAATAAAATATACCTGTACATTTTAATTAATAACACAAGAAGAAGTTGCTAGATCAGACCAATGGCCCTTCTATCCCAGCATCTTGAGCTTACAGTGGCTGAACAGTTGCCTGTAGAAAACCAGCAAGCAGGATTCAAGCACAAAAGCTCTCTTCCCTCCTGTGGTTTCCGGCAACTCGTATTCAGAAGCATTAATGCCCCCAATTTCGCCCAGGAAATTTCCCTCCAGAGGAACTTGAACAAAATTCAAGAGAGTCACCCCCACACCGATGCCTACCATGGACATGTTGCTATGACTGAATCAGCACCTGATCATAGCACACCACCAGTATATACAGTAAAACTCACACAGGGAGACCACTATTCAGACAACAAGGTGTTCAGTGTGGGATCGTATCTCTCTCTGGACTCATTCATGTTGTGAACACTTAAGAGCTCACAAGGTTGCTCTGGTTAGGGAGAAGGGGAAATGACAGTATCCTCACAAAGGAAGCACCTTACGCAAATTGGCAGGCCATATGGAACACAAGGGAGCATGAGCACATTGCTGTCATTTCTTGTCCCAAAGCCTGAACAGCTGCTTCATGTTGGGACCCCAGGCACAAGCAGCCAACATCACACTGCAGTCCAACAACTGAGGGTACCAGGACAGAGCACACCACACAGGTAAGCAAGGGAAGGGAAAACACATGCTGTTCATGCCCAAGTGCCACACCTGCCTCTGTATCGCCTTACGCCTACTGTGCCCTAGCTGAACTATCCTGCTCTGGCCCTCTTCTCCCTTGCACCCTCCACAGCAGGATGTAGAGTCCTCAACAAAGGAGAAATACTCCCAACATGCAGGTAAGCTCTCTGCTGCCAAAGGCCAGGCACTGCACTCCAACCAATGCCACAGCTCACGGTCATTTTTGCCTTGCAAGATCACAGATCAGATTCAGGAAGTAATAACAAGCTGTCACCATATGCAGCCCCCAAGGATAAAGGGGCACCTCCTCTCACAATCACTGCAGGTTCCTTCTCCTCCCAATGGGATTGAATGAAAGCTCAAGATATTTGAGCAACATGCATTTGGCAATGTGGGGGTGAGATACCACAAGGCACACACAGTGGTGGGGCCTCCCCCTTCAGTGGGTATTAATAAGCAGTGCCTCCTCAGAACAGCTGTGGAGGATCACTTGCTCCCAAATGCCTACATGAGGAGTTTACAACGAGGAATGTACTTTATGCTATACAGCCATACCTCGAGTTGAATGTGCTTTGGGTTGAGCGCGTTCGAGTTGCGCTCCTCAGCAACCTGGAAGTAACGGAGTGTGTTGCTTCCGGGTTTTGCCGCTCGTGCATGCGCAGGCGCTCAAAATGACATCACGCGCATGCGCGGAAGCGGCAAAACGCAACCCGCGCACACGCAGACGCGCCGTCGCAGCTTACATTGCATTGAGGATGCGAACGGGGCTCCGGAACGGATCCTGTTTGCATCCCGAGGTACCACTGTATCTAAATTAGATAAAAGATTACTACAGGCAATGACCAATGGACGCACGTCCGACTAAAGTGCGATTGCGTACACATGCATGGTGCCAAACCCAGAAGTGACCATAAAATGTCACTCAAGGGGTGGAATGAGGGCGGGACGGAACACTTTACATGGGCCCTGCTGGTGCATGTGTGAGTCCTGAACTTAACCCCCATGCAAAACAAAGCTTGCATTCTGCCGTAGGTGTTTGTGAGCTTCCCTATTTGCTAACCAGTAGTTCAGTCATCCATCACTACTCAAAACATTCATCCAATGAACCAATTTCATATGTTCATTTTAATATGGGTGGAAATTGCCACTTTGTTGTTCTTGAAAGCATGAAACTAACACCCAAAAAGACATAGTTACGGCTTGTAAAAAGTTTGCTTCTCAGCATGAAATGTCACTTATTATAAGGATTTTCCCTACTCCAGGATTTAGTTTTCACCTTCAACAGAAAAAGACAACATTGAAGAGTAGTTATGACACTTTGCAATACAGTGGTACCTCGGGTTACATACGCTTCAGGTTACATACGCTTCAGGTTACAGACTCCGCTAACCCAGAAATAGTGCTTCAGGTTAAGAACTTTGCTTCAGGATGAGAACAGAAATCGTGCTCCGGCTAGCTAACATGGTGCTTCAGGTTAAGAACAGTTTCAGGTTAAGAACGGACCTCCAGAACGAATCAAGTACTTAACCCGAGGTACCACTGTATATCAGAAGAGTCTAAGGGCTTGGTAGACAAATGCCAACACAAAACTGGTTCATTAAATCACAAGACTGTCATTTACATGAATCTGAGAGTTCATGTCCACCAACTTATACCAGCATCATGCTACATGAATTTAAAGAGAGTATTCCACAACAAGTAGTCTTAAGATTTCTAATTGTGGCTACAGGTATATTGAAACTCCATAAACATGCACCCTGTGAACACAGCTTTTTACATATGCCATGAAGCAGGGCTTTCTAGTGTAACATATGATAAGAATTTTGTAGATTTGGCAAATCCACACCATGATCAACTCCCACCCGGAAACCAATGTCCCCACTGTGGAAGGACGTGTGGATCCAGAACTGGCCACCACAATCACTTATGGACTCATTGTTAAAACCATGTTTATGGAAGACAATCTTACTTGGCTACGAACGAGCACCAAAGAAAATAATGATAAGAATACATACAATTGCATGTATCACAGATATTACGTTAGTTAAATGTGTGTACATAAAACCACTTATTTACCTGGGTTGAGAGTCGAAGCCAAAGTCGTTTGATTTGTACATGTCTGAGATGATATCTAGATCTGAGCTGTAGTATAAAAACAAATGTAAGACTTTAATGTTTAGCAATAATTTCATCCTATGTAGCTATTCTTTACAATGTTATTCACGTGGCGTTAATATCTAGTGCAGGGAAGTCATACATGGAGAACTGTGCTTCTCAGCCATAAAGGGGAGCTTTTTCCATTGAAAATAGAGATAATTAGCCGGGAGCCTAAGATGAGTGAAAGTTTCCCAATCCTCTCCTCCCTCCAGTGCCTCCCAAACATCTGTGAAGGGTTAGGGGACCTCCTGAGCAAAGTGGAATTGGGCCCAGGGAACTGCTGGGAGAATGGGAATGACCCCATAGTGAGTAAATAACCTTTTCCCTGTAAACCTCCTTCCATTCACTTAGGATTCAAGCCACTGTGTTTAAGATGCACCTTTAAATGCTGAAGCACCCCATGTATAGTAAATTTTATCCCTAAATGCAAAACAAAACAAGATTGTTTACATTTACCTCTAACCCCCAACACCATGTTAAGTCAAGCAGCAAGCCAGGTAACTAAAACATCACAGTAAGACACTAAAAGGCCCATAAAAGGTTTGCCTAATTACAATATTCTTCATCTGGTGGTAGAACATTAGAAGAGAGAAAGCCAAACAAACCTTCCACAGGAGAGAAATATGCAGCTTTCCCCACAAAAAAGAGCCACAAAAAAGGCTCTCACACATTCCAAACAACCTAGCAGCCACCCGCAACCCGACAGAGGGAAGGGCATCCTTCTCAGTTCTTAAGCGTGTGGGGAAATTACATGGGAGGAGACAGTACTTCAGGTCCCAAGCCATTTAGGGATTTATAAGTAATAACTAACATTTTGAATTATGTCTGGAGCCGTGTTTGTAATAACCAATGCAAAAGTTCTAAAATGGGTGCAATATACGCATGAAGCTCTGTTCCTGTGTGCACCAGAGTTGCTGCATTCTGAATTAAATGGAACCTTCAAAGGCCATGTACAGTCTTGCTGTAACCAAGCATGTGTCACTATGATTTGGTCTGGCCTCACCAGAAATGGAAGCAGTTGGCACTGGGTCAAATCCCCCTTGGCCACAGCAGCAAGGTCAGGTCCATCCAGGACTCCCCTCAAACTCCAAACCTTAAAATTTAAAGTGAGCGCTACTCCTTCAGGAACAGGCAGAAACCACCATGCCTCAGGAAAGGCTAACCCTGCCACAAAGAGAACCTATTGTCTGGATTAAGCTTCAATTTATAAACCCTGAGGGTAGCAAGACTGCCAGAATCAGACTTCTAGGCAGCAGGGAGACATGCAGTGGGTCACTGGAATTCTACTGTGCAGCTTTTCCTTCTGTAGTTCAGCGGTTCTGGGAAAAGCTGAGGAGCTCATGGCTCCTTTATTTGTTCCCAGCACCAATTAACTGGAGAGTAGGAGGCACATGATGGGATCTCCCATGGTCTGGGAAAGGAGGTTTAAAACTCTCCATTTCTATGTGCTGAGAAGGCAGGGGGCGAGTGCATGGGTGGCAGTGTGCGTGGCTGATAATGGAGTGGGAGGAAGACTCTGTGTCTGCCTGAGAAGGAGGAGGCCGGTGAATGTCTCTCTCAACACACCACCCACCACCATATATTGCTGCCTGGACTGAGAAGGCTGCCATAGGGCAATGGCCAATATGTTGAGCAGCAGTCCCCCCCAGATGACCTCCCAGAAAGGACATATTGCAGAATGATGCCCCAAAGACCTATCTCTGACAGGTGGTCTAGAAATATACCGTTATCAATAATGGGTTTTTTTAAATTTAAAAAACTGCTATGAGGACCAGTAGAACTGGTAGGGATGCATTCTCCCCCACCCAGCCCCGGCAAAAAATCTATTCTTTTGGCACAGATTGTCAAATAAGGCAGCCAATGTCCTCTTGGCCCCATTCTGAAGTCAGAATGAAATACAACTGGATAATCCATTTCATCCAAGATACTGAAATGGCACAAATGTGCTCAAGCAGCTTTCCAAAGACTGAGCATTTTACACTGGCCTATCATTATCTAACATTGTTGGGTCAAGGGGGGATTTTTTAAAATAAAATGGCTTTAGCACAGCCATCTTAAACTTGGGTAGAACCACATTTCCCTGTATGAAGGCAATCCAATCCTCAAGACCCATGTAGGCACACAAGACCTGGTCTCTTTTATAAACCAAGATAGGTAAGGACATGAAGACTATCTTACACTTCCAAAGATTTTTGTCGACAAAATTGAAAATTATCCCTAAGGAAAGAAAACGCAGGTATGATGGGCACACAACGGAATTCAGTTTTAACTGTGGCATCCAAGTCAACATGAGCAATTTAATCTGCAAAGTGTCAAGCAAAACTTTCACAGTGAGCTGAGTCTCCAGTCATACCTTTCTGCATCACATACAAGTTGCTCATATTTAACCAATCTTTGCATGCCGTCTGAGCAGCAATATCGGTCGTTGCAAGTTCCACAGCAGAATGCTGGACAAGATAGTGCTGGTTTCAGAATTCCATTAGAATTGGTGTATTCCATGCAGTCTTCACAGAAACCTGAAAATAAAGTCAAACAAACAAACAAGTCATTGCGCTACACATGTTCCACAACAAATTCACTACAAATCAGCATAGCCTCTTTTTATTTGGATCTCCTGGAAATTATATACCAACATGCACAAGCTTCTGACTCCTGCATAATTGTAACCCTAAATAGTACATCATTGGAAGGAAGAGAATGATCTCATTCAGAAGGAAAAGGTTATTGAAAGTAGTATTTATGAGCATCTAAAACCCGTGAGGGAAATGTATATGGGGGAGGAGAGCTGCCAAGCGTTGTGTGTTTTACATGGTTTACATTTTTCTACAATCCATCGTGAAAGAAACAATCTGTTACAAAAGAACTGCTATCTGCATAAACAGCTAGGTGCCCAAAAATGGCTGCTACCACCTCCTTGGTTTGGGTAGCTAAAAGAAATTTCGGAATATAGTCCTTGCCTGCATCACAAGTTCAGCCTTCTCCTGCTTTGATTATTGGCTAGAGCAGAAAACCACTATTTACTACTTAAACATTTATATTCTGCCCTTAAAGTGTGGTGTTTGAGACAGCCCTTGAGTATTCTCTCTATATCTGTCTCGCAGACTCTCACTGTGTGTGATGCATCTCCCAGGCTACTGCTGTAATTTGAGTCAAGGGCACAAACAAAAATGATGTGGGAGATCTGTGATCGGGGTCTCATGGTTGTTGTTTCAAAAAATTGCTGTATGGGGCTCCAGAACTGGAGAACAATGGTGTCAATGGAGATGGCTAATCCAACCTTGCCTTTCTCCTCCCCATAATTTTTCCAAAGCAGCTGTTTGTTCTTCTGGAGGAGCAGAACAAGTCTTTGGCTTGAATCCAGACTTGTTCTTCCACAAAAGGAAGGGCTCCTTCCATTCACTGAACAGCTTTCAATCCAGTGGAAACTCCCATTGGTATAAGTGGGAGTGGGGGAAGAAAGTAACTGTCATTGATTTCTCCTTTCCTGTGCACCCCTGCATCATCCCTCACACTGTTCTGGAGGGCTGCCCAACCTCATTTCAGGAGGGCCAACAGGAAGAAGGATTCTGCAAAAAACCACTTCACCTTCTTCTGCCAGTGACAGCATCCCAAGAATGGGAGTCTGCTCACTGGATCCAAGCATTTTTGTTAATCTGAATCATCAGTTGAAAATTAAAACAACAACAACATATCACCAGTTTTTAAACACTGTCAGAAATAATATCTCTTCCAAGGTATCTGGCTGAAGCGGTACTTCTGGAAAGTCCCAAAATATATTGGCCTGAAGAGCTCAACAAAATACGGACATTTTATTTTATATATTTTTATATCACACTTCAATATAAATTCCTAGGGCAGAATTAAACTACATATAAAACAGATCCAAACAATTATTAAAAATGCACAAAACCTAAAAGGCAGCAAGATCTCAAAAGACAGGGAAAAGCAACAAACAGGTCTAAAATTACATCTCAAAGGTTCTGTCCTATGTCCAACATAACAACAAGTTAAGTGCCAGGCAGAATGCTCTGAACTTGAAGTGGGCACTCCATAATTAGGATGCAAGCACTAAAAAGGTCCCCTAGTTCCTGGTGGCTTACCAAACCCACCACAGATGGTAGGGGCACCTACAGAAGGCTATCTGCATCTTGATGTACAATCCCACCTGCCACCAAGGTCAAAGCCAGAATTTTGAATTGGATCTGGAAATGGACAGGGAAGCCAACACCAGTGAGTAATCCACTAACTGGACTTTGCAAACCATCTGCAAAAGCAACCTCAAACAGAGTGCATTACATTAGTCTAACCTTGAGAAGGTTAATTGAGGCCAGGCTGTCTCTGTCCAGGTAAGGTGTTCACTGGTCCACAAGCCTTAGCTGGTACAAGGAACTCTATACTGCAGAAGCAACCTATGCTTCTAATAAGATAGATAGATCAAGGGCCATTCCACAATGTGAAAACCTTTTTCTTCGAGGAACCGGGAGTGTTATCTCATCAAGCACAGGATGAGCACCACTTCTCCCACTTCTCTAGACAGATAATACACTCACTCATGATACCTCTGTCTTCAGTTTATCGGCCTTCATCCAGTCTAATACCGCAGCCAGACATAAACTGGGCAATTCAAAAGATTGAACCTCACAGCAAGATGTTACTTGGAAACATGCCAAACAGTAAAGAATCAACCTGACTTTCTACCAAGTCTGTTCAGGATTGCAACATTAACCTCATACTGGGGATAAATGTTCCCTCACTCCATTTGTTGTGATAAGCAGGAGCTCTAAGCCTTCTGAAGGGTCCACCACTGTGCACTGGTTTCTTCCTGCTTATCTCAAACTTAATTGAAACGAAACTCAAAAATAGATTTGCTTTCCACAAGTTGACACATATGATTAAACGCTGTAAAGCAAACTAGCAAGACAACTATAATTAGCAATGTTTAATTCAAACCTACATCAGCTGCCAGTTATTTTCCAGGCTTAGTTGAAGTATTTAAATATTTAAAAGTATTCATGGCCTGGAAACTGCGTATTCAAGGACCAAGTCAGACATCTCTGTGTCTGTTTAACATGTATATGTCAGTTTGAATATTCACAGGTGTGAAGGGATGCATGGAGGACGGGAGCAAAACTAACCCCTCAACACCCCACTGCTTTGATTCCCTCCCCAGTCCAGCTCCAACAGTGGAAGTGATCTAGCCGGGGGGGGGGGTAGTGGTTGCACTCCAATGAGTAAACAAAGTTTCCCACCCATACTGACAAGTGCATGTTTAACAAACACGTGCACATTTGGTTTGGCTGCCCTTCCCATGTGCTGGTCTCCCCACTTCTGAAGATTGTCTACTACAGCTCTAACCTTCTTCTAGAGAAGTCAAGAGCAGTGGCCAGCAGGCACAGAAACTTTGCAATACTGCCCCAATGATTTTGACTCGCTGAAAAAGATTTTTGCTGGCCTTTCAGACTTCAAGGAGGGAGTCCATCCAAGCAGTCATAGTTTGCTATTGATACTGAAGTAGGTAATCTGGGGTTTGTTATCTATGGTTTTTAGGCTGCTGTCCTTCACACAGTTGCCTGGCTGCAAGTCTTATTGCTTAATGATTTTTGCACTGATTGTGTTAGCTGCCCTGAACAGCTAATTATGCCCAGGCCAGACATAAACATTTTTTTCCAGTTGTTTCCCATAGTGGGTACATGTGCTTTTATAACAACCTTCTGCCTTTTATAACAACTGTCAACAAGCCTGCATTTCTAGAGATTGCGCCCATAGTGTTTGCATACTTTGGAGAGGACTCTAAATCCTTTATAAGGGCTAAAGTAGACATGACACTGAGGACACGTTTCCCACTGCGATCCCAATTATCAGCCCACCAGGGGATGCTATTAGCATTTCTGAAAATTACATGTTGAATGCAAGCACATGCTTAACAAAATGTCTAATTAGGCTCTGAATTGAATGCTATGATCTGGTTCAGATAATCAAATTCTGGCCTGTTATCCTGGTCTGTTAAATGACATTAAGTCCCAAATGGGCTAGATTTTTGTACTTTGCTTTTACAACATCTTGTTGTTTCTCTGCACAAAAGTTGCTTTATACAGAGCAGGTGGGGGTGGGGGTACAGATCACTGGATTCCAGCTATGAGTCCTAAGGAAATGCTGTCAATTTAAAGGAACAGACTAAAATACTGCATGGGCCAATGAGCTGCTATAGATCTGATAAAGCATATAGAAAAAACACAGGAGGGAAAAGATAAATTATCACTTCAAAACACAATGGCGGCATCCTCAATTGTCTCCTAATTCCTCCTGAAATTCAAAGGTATCTTAATAAATTCTTAGTCTAATCCAGGCTGTTTTTCTTGTAGACCAGGAAGACAACACTGAACACTTAGGAGATGCTGCCTGCATGGAGGAAATAAAAGTTGCTACTTTTCCCCCATTCCCCTTTTCTCAAGCTGCTGCCTTTTAACACATTTCCTGCACATGAGAAGGAAGGAACCAGACCACACCGCTGCTTTATTTCCTGTGCATTTGAAGAGGAGGTGCTTTTTAATCAAAGGTCTTCCTTGCTTGACTCTCAGATCTATGTCAAGGAGGGCTCACCCATTACACCTTTTGTGCCATAAGCTCTGTGTTTGAGTGTGGGGTTTTGGGGTCCCATATTTCACCACTGAATTAGAGAAAACGGCAACTGGGTTTTCCATGGAATGCCATTTGCTCTGGTACAGCATTAAAACGAGTGTCTTCCTGTGGAAAGTGCCAGGGCAAAATTTTAAAGCGCTGCTTTGACACAGAGCTTTAAAACATGGTGCAAAAGGAAGTCTGGGTGAGCCTGTAGTTGAAAGCAAGATAGATACAATTATGCTAGACATGGAATTTCATATTAGATACCAAGCTGATTTAAAAGTACTAATTTTTTTTAATATAATCATTTTTATTACTTTTACATATAATCACATTGCATAAAATCTTGACTAACATCTTGACGCTGCCCATTTCATGAAGAACCTGAGGCTCTAAAGATCTTTCTAAAGATTGTAGCCATGGGGAAATAGGGCCATAACTCAGTGGCTGAACACATGCCATGCAGAAGTCTCCAGCTTCAGTCCCAGGAAACTCCAGGTAGAGCTGGAAGAGATCCCCTGCCTGGATCTCTGGAGATCCACTGCTAGTCAGTGCTGGCAGTTCTGAGCTAGAGGAATCAATGGTCTGATCTGGTATAAGGCAGCTTCCTATATTCCTATTATAGCAGCAGATACATTAGTTGATGAAGCTTGGTCTGTCTCAATATCATCATCACCATCATCAATTAAATGTTCAAAGTGGGGAGCCAGGGGTTCAATTTAGAGAGCAATTGCCAGGAGCAAGTTAAACCCTTCCTACAGTCCATCACATATTATTTTGAACCCAGGATGCTTAAGAAAAGAGAAATAGTTTCACTAAAACATGCATTTTACTTCCGACAGAGAGGCATATTGAAAGCTTTGGTGGCTCCCAAAGAGAGGTATTCCAAGGGTGA